GGGTCACTGAGTCTCAGATACAATGGAGGCAAGACCAGCAAGTTAGAAAAACAGTCAGCAATATGTATGTGCGTGTATAGAGAGTGTATGTACTATGTGCACAGCAGTATGAGGGGTGTGTGAAGATTAATTAGATGTAATCATTGTCCTAAATATGATTTAGTGTAGTGGGTGAGATTGACTTGCATCCAAATAATAAAAGCGAAGAAATGGATGAGAGGAAGGAGGACTGCTGATTATTGACATAGCTAGTCTCAATATCTCATATTGGAACATTTCAAATTTTACTCAAAAGAAGTTTATTTTGATGTCAGTGATAAGAAACAGATTGAATTTTAGTTTTTTTAAAAAATGGCCTGACAAGTGTTCTTATTCATGTTTAAATTTATTTTTCAGCCATCTATTCTGTTCTGTTGTCTATCCTAATAAACTCAGTACCTCACTTTAAATGACTATTATTTATATTTTGTTTTAATAATATAGTAAATCCTTTTCCAGTGCATTGCTTTGGCTCCTCTTACCAACCAATTCTTCTCAGTGAAAATTAAGATCACTTTCTGAAGCTCCTCCAGCTTGGGATTATATTGGATATAATAGGCAAATATATGGGCAAATATAAACTGACTTATAGATTTGCTTTTTGCTAATTGCTTTAATTTTGCAGTATGGATTATTGCTTGACTTATTTACTTGAAACTAATAATAAAATAAAATTTTTTCAAAAAGCTAATGCTTTTCTGACCTCAAAAAAAAAAAATCAACCTTTTTATAGGGTTTGTTTTATTAAGGATATTATCGCATTACTTTTTCCTGTTAATTGTAGTTAAAAAAATAACATAAATTTACCATCTTAACTATTTTTCTGTGTGCAGATCAAGTACACTTGAATGTTAATATATTCATGTTATTGTGCAACAGACCTGTAGAGCTTTTTTACTTTGCAAAACTGAAATTCTATACTGATGGAACAACTTCTCATTATTTTTCTGCCCTAGCTCTTGGCAACCGTTATTTTACTTCCTGTTTCTGTGAGTTTGACTACCTTAGATAGCTCATAAGTGGAATCATAAAGTATTGTCTTTTTATAACTGGATTATTTCACTTAAAATAAAGTCTTAATGGTTAATCCATGTTGTGGCATATCACGAGATTTCCATTTTTTTAAGGCTGAGTAACATTCCATTGTATGTATGTACAACATTTTCTTTATTCATCTGTTGATATGGGTTACTTTTACCTGTTGACTATTGTAAATCATGCTGCAGTAAACAAGGGTGTGCAAATATCTCTTCAAGATCCTGCTTTTAGTTCTTTTGGATATATACCCAGTAGTAGAATTTCTGGATCATAAGGTAATTCCGTTTTTAATTTTTTAAGGAACCGTCATACAATTTTCCATAGCAGCTGCAACATTTCTCATTCCCACTAACATTTCACAACAGTTCTAATTACTCTTTATCCTTGCCAATATTTGTTATTTTCTTTCTTTTTTTGATAGTGGCCATCCCAATAGGTGTAAGGAGATTTTTCATTGTGGCTATGATTTTCATTTCTCTGATGTTAGTGACTTTGAGCGTCTTTTCATATGTTTGGTGGCCATTTATATATCTTTTTTGGAGAAATGTCTATTCAACTCCTTTGAGCATTTTTTAACTGGATTATTTATTTTTGTTGTTTTGAATTGTAGGAGTTCTTTATATATCTGAATATTTATCCCCTATCTGATACATCGTTTAAAAATATTTTCTCTCATTCTGCAAGTTGCCTTTTTACTCTGTTGATTGTTTTCTTAGATGCACAGAAGTTTTAAACTTTAATGTAACCCCATTTCTCTATTTTTGCTTTTGTTACCTGTCCTTTCGGTTACATATCCAAGATATCATTGCCAAACCCCATGTCAAGAAGTTTTCCCCTATGTTTTCTTCTAGAAGTTTTATAGTTTTTGGTCTTATGTTTAGAT